GTGAGGGATCTCTGTGAGCGAACCAACCCAACAGGAACCGATTGTGCACCAAATAAGTAGGAAGAAATGGAGGTGGGTCGGCCATACTCTGCATTGCAGGCCATCACTCGAGTGGAGCCCGAATAGGAAGCGGCGAGTTAGTCGTCAGTGCAAGGGTGGGGTGACATGGAGGAGGTGATGTGAAGAGGAGACAGAAGCATTTGGTTAGACATGGAACTAGGTGAAAACATTTGCGGAGAACCGAATGCAATGGAGAAGTGCGGCTGAAGCCCTATGTTCCTCTAGGAACTAAAGGAAACAATAATAATATGAAAAATAGGGCCAAGGTTCTGGAAAATGACTATGAACAGCTAATCTTCTAGTGCAAAACTGGTATTTATTGTATAGAAAAGTCTATTTACAGTAAATATATTCATCAAAAGCAATTCGCAGTGGTACTTGGGCTAATGCACAATATCCATTGTGATTGGTGAACAATAATATTGGATTCGCTCAAGGTCATTTCGTTGAACCTCGGCTGTGGTATCTATTCTCTTTTATAATTAATTGCCTGTAATCATTATCTATCAGTCAATCCACTGTCCCTGTGTAGCTTATGCCAATCATCGCTTATAGTTAACATCAAGAAACTGTCAGTTCCCCTGTGAATAGATCAGAAATCACGCTGTGTTGTCAAGCATGGGCTTTGCCATAAAAAACAAGACTTTTCTTTTTGACGGATTGCAGAATGATCTTTTATAATGATCTACTGACAATAACTTGACCTTCACCTACTCACCATTTCGAGTTAAACACTAGAAAATAGAAGCAGTGGGATTATTAAAACTTCATCTAACACGATAGTCGTGTGTTAGGAATGCTTTGACATACCTTTGAATTAATGATACAAAATTACATAAACCACCAAGTTGATAAACTTTACCGGGCCCTAAATGTATGAGTCTTTCTCAAAATAAATTGACGTCTATTAAAGGTAGGTTACTTTTAAGTTTGCTTTTTATTATTACTGTATTATAAGAACTAAAGAACATTGTAGCGAACTCTGAAGATTATGTTTAAAAAGATTATGAAAGTTTCAAAATTAAACCAACGACCTTTCACTGTGATAATGAACAGAACGGATTATGAAAACAAGGCGATTGAACACCTTTCCGAAGGAAAAGAAGAGAGAGATCTGCCAAATTCAACAAAATTAAACTAAATACCAACAGACTCCTTCAAGAAATGAAACCCAAAATCGGAAATTCTCTCTGGTTTAGACTAAAACTAAAATCTTATGTACCTTCAAGATTCTACGGTCAACCAAAGATACACAAGTCCACAGTTCCATTAAGACCAGTAGAAGATTTCACTAACTCACCGACATTCAACCTCTCCAATTCAAATATTATAATTAAGAGCTTGAAATTCTGTCTAGAAAGTAATTATTTTACATTTAAAGGGGATTTATACAGACAGACCAATGTTGTTGCTATAGTTTCACCAATTTCCCCAATAGGTAATATCTTTCCAAGCATACTCACTCCTAAAATATGGTTACGAAATGTAGATGATACCTTTGTAGTGATAAAACGAGATCTACGCAGTTCATTCTTTGAGAAAATAAACAGTCTATTTCCCAGAATCCAGTCTACTTCGGAATCAGGCAGAATCAGGCTGTCGGTGAACTACCACTTGTAAACTGGCTGCCTAGTTTAGAGGAGGGAAAACGGACACAATAGTATAACTTTATTCAGGAAGAAAACCAGTCCAACAAATATTTAGACTTCTGGTCATCACACCCCATCAGTACAAAGTTGTCAGTTGTTTCAAGTCCTCTTCGACTATCACACTCTTTGATGTTAACGTATGAGAAAGAAAAAGAAGAAGATAGAATAACAAACATTACTGAGACTCTCAAGCAAAACAACTACCTAGTGAACTTCATCAACAAAATCAACAGTGACAATAAGTATGGTTGAAAACGTATTCCGAAAACATGGACCTCAACAGTTGACTTTGACATCTTCGCCCGTTCCACGTGTAGTTGAAACGATGCTTCGTAGCCGGATATGTGAAGGAGTCTTCCTCTGTTAAATCCTTCCCGTTGATGGTGACTGGTGCCGGTTGTTGTTGCTGTTGTTCGGTTGGTTATCTTCATCACCTCCATCTTCTCTATGTTAACCTGCAGTCCTGTCTTCGCTGCCAGCCTCTTCAGCTAGTTTGCTGCTTTTCGCTTGCAAGTCTTCACGTTTCTGTGACATTAGACATATACCATCCACACGCGAAATCCAGATCTTCTAGAGTCTTCTTATAGGTTATCCAGCGTAGTCCTGACTCCTCGCTCCCTGTGCACAGTCAGACACATAATCCAGTCCACCACAATGAAGAACTTCATCGGTGATAATAAGCAGCCATCTTGTCCTACTTCTGTATGCACTTCGAACGCCTCGATGAGTTTTCCATTGTGGATCACTTGACACGTGGCATTATCATATAGCCAGCTGTTGAATGAGGTTGCTAAATACTTGGGTACTGCACGCCATAGTGTCGAAGTAGTTTCCGAATTACTTGTCAATCAACACTGCCGAAAGTCTTCTCGAAGTCGATGAAATTGAGGTGGGTAGAGGTTTGACTGCTATTCTATGCTCAGTTCGATGACAATGCGTATAGTTGTTATTTGATCAGCACATGATTTGCCTTTCCTGAATCCAGCTTGTTCCGGCGAGTCGCGGAGTTCTGTATCCAGTGCATCCTTTATTCTCTCCAGGATGATGCAACTTAGCATTTTACTTGGCGTGGACAAGAGCATTATTCCACACCACTTCTTGCACAGACCTAAGCCGCCCATCTTTGGCAGTTTGATGAGGTAGCCCTTCTTCCAATCAGTAGGCATCTTTCCTTCTTTCCAAACGTTTTGAAGTAATGAAGTGAGAACATCTGCGTAATTTCTGGGGCCGTCTTCAGTGTTTCGAAAGGAATGCGATCTGGTTCTGTTGCCTTATCAGTCTGCGTTCAGTAGCTTTATCGCATTCAGAATTTCTTCCCTCGTTGAAGGAGTGATGTCTACTGGCAGGCATTTCCATGTTTGCTGCTGTTGGTATTACTGGGCGAGTTGCCGGTGGTGGTCGATTCAAGAGTCCTTTAAAGTGATCAGCCCATTGTTTGATTTGTTTCTCCTCCTTGGTGATCAGCTCCCCTTGAGCATCTTTTATTGGTTTCATCATCTGGTTTGATCTCTTCCTGGATAGGGACTTAGTCATCTGATATAGTGCCTTGATGTCTCTTTCGCCCATGGCCTGCCTGTTCTGCCTCATTTGCCAGTGTGTCGAAGAATTGTCGTTTGTCTTTTCTAGGACTCTTCTTTACTTCTTTATTCAGTGCAGTGTACACTGAACTCAGCTTCTCCTTCTGTTGTCCATCTATGCATTGAATAAACAGCATAAGTTTTCCTTAAAACGGTGTTTCTCTTGGGACTGTTGACAGTCACCTGAATGATAACCGCTTATCGTTAGATAAATACATTTGTTAGTTTGAGGTAAGGCGAGAGAGTTACGTAACAGACAGAATAAGTTTAAGGTTAGGGTTGGATGACACAAAGATAAGGGTTAGTTTAGTGTGAGACTAGAAATAGAGCTGATGACATTTAACCTGAAGTTATGATGGTTAAGAAATACTCGTTGGGGTTTGTAACAGATATCTTTATGGACAGCTGGGGAAATATTGCTCTAAATAAATTGAATCTTACTCCAAAAATATGGTGGAGATATTTGGATGACACTTTCACAGTGTTAAAAACAGAACACATCTCTAGCTCCTTGACGCATATAAACTCATTAGCAAAGGGAATAAAATTCACATTTGAATCGGAAAATGAACAAGGAGAATTAGCCATGATGTTAGATTGTAAAATAAAACGAACAGAAGAAGGTAAACTGCACACTAGCGTTTATAAAAAGCCAAAGCATTCTGCTATTAGCTATTTAGACTTTAGTTCATCTCATCCGTTAACTGTCAAGGCAGGCTTAGTTAAGTGTCTAATAAACCGACCAACAGCACCGAGTAGTACAGCAAAACACCTAAACGAAGAAATGAAACAGATAGAAGAATGCCTGATTGGTGTTAAATAACTATCCCATAAAATTCATTAGGAATATCAAAAAAGACCAAAAGCAAAATAAAAATCATGGTGATACTAATAATGATAGCATAAATAAGAGAGAATATAAGACATCTACAGTTTTTCCATATAAGGACGCGACATCTGAGATCCTACGAACGGGATTCTCATTAAAGTAGGAATTAGGGTGGCATTTAAACCTACACACTCACTCAGATAGGACAAGCTCTGTAGGCTAAAAGACACTGTCGGTTGACCCAATTACACAAAATAATATAATTTACAAAATACCTTGCAATGACTGTGATTTAAGTCAACTACATAGGTGAGTCAAACTAGTAGATCAGGAGTAGTAGTGAGATTATCAGAACATAAGAATTTAGCTAAGCTTAGAATGATTGATCCCACACCCGTGAAGATAAGTAATTTAGAAAACAACTCAGCAATCGCACTGCATGCATTAACAGACAACCACACAATATGGTGGGTGGGACAGAGTCGAAATTCTAAAAAGTAATCTAGATAGGTGGAGATAGAGGGAGAGAGATTGATTACTGAATCCTGTCTACTTCATCGAATCTACAACCAACTAATGCAACAGACATTGTTCAACGCAAATACCACAGATATGTAAGATATTATTACCACCAGTCAGTCAAATCACAGGATAGAAAATCGATTGAGGAAACGTCTTGCTGAGCATGGTGAGCATGAAACCTGGGTCAAGTAGGGCATCCTGTATCCAACTATCTAATATCAAGAAACAGAACTCTCTGATGCAAATATCAATAAATATATATATTTCTTATTACAGAATTATTGCCACTATTAATATTTTCATTATTATTATTTCAGTAAAAGTGATGAGAATAAATACATGCAAAATAAACTTTGACACAACACTCTATTCAATAAATAAATAAATAAGTAAATAAATAAATAACCGAATTTTCAAAAAGCAAAATGTCAAAGAAAAGAGACGAGAATACCTTTTCATAAAGCGATGAAATATATAAGTCAAGTGTTCAATTGTTCAATTCCTTTTTGTTTGTTTTAAATACGGGAGTTAAGCCGCGAAGTATAATCATTTGAAGTAAATCAATATTGCTTAATCATCATTATTATTATTAGTTCACTTTCAAATTGTATTTTTTTTATTATTTTTATTAAGAATTCAAGAAAATAATAATAAATCACCAAAATCTTTAGATTAATACAGGCAGAATTATTGTTTGAAATAAGACAGAATAAATTTGTTTTTATTTTTTAAATAATATCCAATTATGTTTGTCCCGCCATTCATGATAATCCATTTAAAGCAAAAACATGTTCAATTGTTAAAGATTATGGTTAAAAGATTCAATGACAAAGCATGACAAAGATTGAATTAATATAATCATTCTAAAAGGCAAGATAGGAATGATAAATTAAACCAAGTAAGCAAAAAGCCCAGGAAAGAAAAAAGAAAGATGACTTAAGAATCGAAGTATTGATGATGAGTTTCGTTTTTTATTTAATGTGAATCAACAATATGACGTTGGGCACCGAAACTCATACCAGACTGTGAAGCAACTTGATCTTTCCCAGCACCCATTTGTAAGCCAATAACATTTTGACCTTCTTTTGATATTTCACCGACTTTAATATCAGCAATGTGTCGTTGACCACCATGACTCATACCAGCTTGACTGGCAAGTTTATTTGTACCCATTTGAAGACCAATAACATTTTGTCCTTCTTTTGATGCTGCATCAACTTTGATATCAGTAATGTGTCTTGGCCCACCATGACTCATTCCAGCCTGACTAGCACCTTTGTTAGAACCCATTTGAAGACCAATAACGCCTTGACTTTCTTTTGATGCAGCGTCTACTTTAATATCAGTGATATGACGTGGCCCACCATGACTCATTCCAGCTTGACTGGCAAGTTTATTAGTACCCATTTGAAGACCAATAACGCCTTGACTTTCTTTTGATGCTGCGTCAACTTTAATATCAGTGATATGACGTGGCCCACCATGACTCATTCCAGCCTGACTAGCGCATTTATTAGTTCCAGCCTGTAAACCAATTATACCTTCAGAGGCTCTTAACTGTTCTTCTGTGAATTCACGTTTATTTTCATAGGTTGGTTTTGGTCCGCATACTGGTCCATTGAAATTGTTCCTTTGACACTGTTGAGACAAAAATTAGAAAAATAGTCAGATAGGTATTCAGTAATAATGTTTAGAGATATTCTGTGACGTTAAGGAATACTTTCCTACATATAGATATGTAATGTCTTCAATCAGTGATATTAGGTTAAACCTAGTACTCAGGTTCTTTGTTAATTTAATTCGATTGCAAAATAATTCAAATGTCTACTTCTCACTCGGCGCCCAAATATTTTAGAAATATTCTGTCAAATCTTGACGACAGTTCATTTGAATTATTTTGCAATAGAATTAAATTAACAAAGAAACTGTGCAACTGGAACAATCATCATGTTTTCACTCTCCGTTGTCTGCAACAGAATGCATATCCTAAATCCGTAGCTATCGAGTCACCTGACAACTCCAGTAGGTCGAATAAAGCAGCTCAATCTTCAGAAAGAAGAGAAAGCAATAAGTCCGACAGGGTGCTTCTACTAAACTCTAATCCTAAACACCATTATTTTGAAAATACGTCTAATCGTAAAATTCTAGATACTAACAGTTTGAAGAGACTTTAAGGCGTGATGTTAGCTGATGCATAGGGAATCCTTATTAATAAATAAAAATGGATATGTATCACTAATTATTAATACTTGGTTGAAATTCTCGACTGTCCATATCTTCTTATGGAAACGTTAAGAAATGTTTTACAACTGTTTACACACACACACGCATGCACACTCTGTTTAAAGTGTTTAACAAAGGTAGACCAATATTTGTAAGTCCGAGGTCAAATTTTAATCACAGCTCATAAAATTTTGTTTATTATACTTGTTGG